ATAATCTACCATGTAAAGTAGAACAGGCCTTAATAGCAGCAAACAGAACTGCCCTGTAAAAACTTAGACTTAAGATCTAGGAATTCACTTTAATTCAGTTGTGTGCCTGTCTTTTCAAGTAAGCTACAAGGTGATTGAAGAAAGAAACACAAAAGTTTGTTTCCTTTTTAACCCCTAAGTGTTCAGTGGTTCACGTGTAAAGATGCCTAATGAAAATTTTCCATAAATTAATTGATGACATTGTTAATTAATTAATGTCACTGTTATGAATAAGGGATCCCTCATACCTGCCTGCAGCAATGTATGTATACTACAATTAAGAGCAATCACTGACTGCACTAGGAAAGAGAATAGAGTTAAAATCAAAGCAACAAAGTTGCTGATTTCTCACGATATTGCCACTATGCACAGACCACTGAGCAGAAAGGAACTGAGGGAAGAATCACAATAATGTTTGTACAATCAACATTTGACCTTTGGTTGGTAAGTTTATGAAATGCACATAAACAGTTTAGGACAAAGTGTGGTTATTCTCATTTTGACTTAAGTTTTCATCAAACTGTTATCTTGGCTGACTGATGTCTGTTGAGTCTAGCATGCCTCTTTGCACATTTCAGTTCTACCCAGGTCAGTTTCAAACACATATGATGAGTAATGTTTTCTCCATTTTCTCTATGATAACCCCACATTTCCCAGTAAGACATTGTTTCCAATCATCTTCAGATTGTCCCCTTTTGTTGTAATTTACATTGACCTCAACTGTTGGAAATGTTTAAGCTCATAGACAATTACCACTCTCAGCTTTAACCACAGAGCCTCTCTTTTCTATGAGTGCAGGGACTTGTGGATACAGAGGTGCTGAGAATAAGATGTGACAGCTGAGTGCCCAGTCCTAAACGAAACATTCATTCCATCCTTCCAAGGCTCAGGGAACACTGAGGAACAGGGGGTGAAAACATTAAGAGCTGAAAAGCAGTGAGACAGGCTACAGCATGTCATCTTCTGGCCATTACACAGCCACCGCAGTCACAGACTCTCAATAACTATGAATGGCTGCCCGGGTTCATCCTCAAATGGCCCCATCAACATCCAGGCAAGGATGAAGTAGGAGCTCAGGGTCCCTATCCCTCACTCCTGAGCTTTACTTAAGATCAATTCAGAGAAAAGGGGAGTCATGACCTGTGTACCAAACAAATGCCAGGGAATAATCCAAACCCAATGATCACACTGATGGTTATGGTTAAATTAAATGGGTTACACAGCAAAGCCAATAGTCACAAATCTGAGAAAGGGACAGTATGGAGTGGGGATTGATAGGGCTGGGAGGGGGATAAGAGGGGATGGGGGAAAAGAGGAACCAGAATATATTGCACACATGTATGAAATGTCAAAGGGACAGTTTTTTTTTAAAGAAGTACTGTAGATTTGACTCAGTGGTAGAATACTTCCTAGCCTGAGCAAATCCCTAGGTTCAGTCCCCAATATTAATAACAAATGATTTAGGCAATAACATTTGCTTTTATCCTCACTATGTACTGATGCAGTAGTTTTTAATTAATTGATTGCATTCTTAAAACAACAGGGAACAAATTCATTATCTTGAAAAGCAGAGAACAGAAATAATAATGTGTCCTGCCTTTCTTATATCAAGGACTACTGAAGAACTAAATGGTATGAGGACAACAATCATATGTAAAATGTTTCAGTAAAACAATAAAATCAAATTATATTACAGTCTTCAGTAAATTTATGAATCTCTATCTTGAGCCTTAATATCTTCTATCATGAACAAAGAGTAACAATGATTATGTCATCTTTGATGAAAGAAAACACACACTCAATGGCAAGATGGGTAGAGATGCTTGTAGGTGGGCCTGATGACCTGAGTTCAATCCTTATTCTACAAGATAGAAGCAAAGAAGTCACTCCAAAGACTTGTCCTCTGATCTCCACATGCACATAAATACACACACAATAATAAATAAATAAATAAATAATAAAACTTTAAAAAGGAACTCTACCCCTTGTATTGATTAATCAATGAATCTGAGTCTGATAAACCTCTGGGTTCCATCTGGAAACTCACAAGAAATACAAAGACAGGACCATGACAAACTTCAAAGGATTATGTGAGGAACAAAATCTAGAGCTTTTAAGAAATGGTACAGGCATCAAGTTTCTTTATTACATAACTTAGAAGTAGTGGTGAACCTCAAGATTGATTAAAGATATCTAAAAGACACATCTTATCAACTGTGCAAGAATAGGTTAGCTATACATAATGGTGACAATGTTAATTTAAAATTTGATGAAGCTATTGCTAGAAAATTCAGTAGAACAGCTACCTTTGGAAAGGAGACAGCTGTGATTTGACTGTAGCCAACATGGACTCATGAGTGGCTGTCTATGTTGTATTACTTAACCACTATTGTGGCTTAGATAAGTTTCCATATTGCAACAATATATTGCTTATTCATTAGTGGCATGTATTTTACTATTCTTTTTATTTATTTACAACTATGCAATTGTTAATCTCCAGGAAGAAAAGGTAGGGGAAGTGCTTTAGGTATTGGACTAAAGGAATGCATGGATAGGAGGCCAAAAGTACAGGCAACAAAAGGGAAGAGACGGCAAATGGCCCAACATCAAATTTAATTATGTTCACTGGGATTCGGGCGCACGCGTTTAATCTCAGCACTCAGGAGGCAGAGGCAGGTTGTATCCCTGTGGATCAAGCCCAGCCTGGTCTACACACTGAATTCCAGGCCAGCTGGGGCTACAGAGAGACCCTGTATAAAACAAAAATAGTCTTATATTCAACAAAGGGAATAAAAGTGTAAAAATGTAACCGTATGAAAATTATATATCTGAGAAGTGGGCGGTGGTTAATCCAGAAACTCATAACAGTTCAAAGTGCTGGGTATTAATGACTGAATCCTTAGCCCTAAATTGGACATCTATATCCATCCCCCAACCCATACCTCAGGGAATATAATGAAAGAATAAAAGAGAGAAGATAAGAGCTGCAAGCCCAAGGAGGGGTGCTATGAAAGTCACCCCTGCATATGACATGGCTATTGCACTTAAGAACTCACAGCAGCACAAGCCCTGCACAAGATCAATCCTGCAAAATTCCAGCATGGATAGGAGAAGGGCTCACTAATCGCCACCTTAAACTATTGAGAGTTGGAATGGGGCAACTAACAGGGTACTAATGGGGGCTGAAGAGATGGCTCAGTGGTTAAGAGCACTGGCTGCTCTTTTAGACAAACCAGGTTCAATTCCCAGCACCCACATGGTATCTAACAACCACCTGTAACTCCAGTTCTAGGAGAATTAGATGCCCTCTTCTGATATCTGAGAACATTGCACGACATAGATGCACTTACATACATGCAGGCAATACATTTATGCACAAAGAATAAATAATATAATATTTTAAAGAAAACATAACAAATTTTAGTATATATACATTAAATGTATTTCATAGAACAAACACTATTGGATAATGAAGGAAAGATAAAGTAAGAGTGGATAAGTATTAGTTCATCTAGGGCATTGCCACAGACACCAGCAAAATCCAGAAGACCTTTAGGGAATATTTTGAAAACATTTCATAAAATAATTAAAAACATACAACTTATAAAGATACACAATGAACAAGACAGAGGCAACAGTAAATAGAATTCCACCAAAACACTAAAGCTAAAAGTACTGTTGGATCCTAGTGGGCCTTTAAAGGCCAACTGACTCCAACATTCCTCAGATTCTTCAATACACTAGAAAGCAGAAATGTTATGAAAACTTATTCTACAGAGGCATATTAGTGCCATACCAAAGCCAGGTAATGAAATAACAAAATGAA